AAAGCTTTACACTGTACTAGTTAATATCAACGTTGATTGTGGGAAGAAAAAGGAGGAAGTCGTTTAGCAAGTCCCATAGCCAGAGGAGGAAGTGTGTTTTGCCCTAGTTTTGTCAGGGAACCACGACAAGAAGAGTAACACAGTTCAAGCAAAAAGAAAAAGCAACACCCCTGAAAGGCAAGGTAGGAGTGAGGCGTGTGTGAAGGAGCATAACATCGCATAGGTCGGGAAAACGGCGTGCTCCCCCGATGTTTATATGATTGTTATGTGCGTGCTGCTCTTTCGTTGTTGCCTGGGGACTTACATTTCAGCGGTGGACGCAGTGCAGCGCGTTGTTTGGTTGTATTTTGTATAAAAAGCAAAAAGATTAAAAGATAAAAAGCAAAAAGATTAAAAGATAAAATGATAAAATGATAAAAAGATAAAATGATAAAAAGATAAAAGGGGTATTAAAAAAAGATTAAAAAACGATCTAAAAGGTTTCGTGTAGTGAAGGACCGGACCGTCACCCCATATAAAAGGGTGAAACGAAAGCAAAAAAACAGCCTTGCGCATCAGCGGCTGCGGGAGAGACCCTTTTGTTGCGTGGGTGAAGTGAGTGCAAACGGGAGCTGCTCTGCTTCCTTTACTGGTTTTGCCCTCTCCGCCGTTGTGTGTCCTCCTGTTCTTGGCTCTGTTCGTCGTCGTCGAGTTTGCTGTGCTGATGGTGCTGGTTCGTGGTGCAGGCGCTTAGGCTCCAATTCCGGCGACGGCATACAACAAAAAGAAAAACGGCAGCCACAGCAGGGCATAAGTGACGGCAACGTCGCCGGTTTTCTCATCGGGGCGATGGCGTGGGGGCTCCTCGCGGCGCAATGTGTTGTTGAAGTGGACGTCCGTCACAAAATTCCCTGCGCCCTGCGCCGTGTAGGTTTCGTGAGCAAAGGCATTGCGGACACCCGCCAACTTGGTGCAAACTCTCTCGTACTTTGGGCAGACAATTTCGCCGCCAGTGAATGGGAGTCCCGGCCGAAGCGTGGCGCCCTCCGGGCACAAATGCCACGCATCATTCCCAGTGTGACGTATTTTCACCGTGCCCAGACTCTCGCACGACACCTCCACGCAGACCGCCCCAATTTCCGTTGCATGGATGCGAAGCGCGTTCCCCTCCAGGCACCGTGAGTTGGGCCCTACCCGACTTCCAGCGACGGTGTTCGAAAGGCTTGTGCAGCCGCCTTCTCTGAGTGAGACTATGGTGGGGCAGTAATCCGTCAACTCATGCCGTGGGGCGCCAAGCGAGAGGTGTTCAAAGTAGCTGTACTGTGGCGCAAGCGGCAGTTGGAACGAAACAAGACCACAAATGCCCAGCGCCAGGTGATCCGACGTGCAGTGAAGGCGCGTGGAAACCTCTGTGCAGAACATGTCGGGGTATCGTGTGGTGCTGTTCTCCACGCACTTCTTCTCCAGGAACTCGCAGCCAGAGTTGCTGCCCCACCCCATCAACTCCTCCATGCCCCAGTTGGCGCGATAGTACCCGGTGTCCTCAAAAGCCGCCATCGTCAGGGCGGAGTAGTAGCCTATGCCGGAAACACCCGCCATCAACTCATCCTTCGCATTTCGCCGCTCCCAGTGCGACTGCGCCGTCCCCTCCCCGCCCTCGTCCTCCAGCTCCATGCCGGGTGCGGTAGCGCAGTTGAAGTGTTTTCGCGTCGCCTGCAGCGTTTTTCTTGAGGACAGCACATAGGCGATGGGTTTGCCGCGAACGCCCCGCGCCGCAGTGACCATGCGGCGCCCAACAAAAACGTGCATGGAAAACCCAAGTGCATGCGCAATCTCGTGTGCAGCGGCGCGCGCCAGGCCCCGCCTTGCAGAGATGTGCTGCGGCCCAAAGTTCAGCGCCCCAATAACAGGCCGCCCGTCAATCGTGACGGAGCACGGCGCCCCCCACGCCACGTTGGCGTCCGCCATTGGCCCGGCTGCAATGTAAAGGATGAAGTCAGCGTCATGCACCCCCTCAACACTGTGCGCCTCGGGGACCGTAAAGAAGACGCAGGCGCCAAAGGCAATCCGCCCCACAAAAATCCAGTCCATTGGGCGGACAAGGAGACGAGCAGCATGCAACTGAACGGACTCCGGTATGAGCCGCTCAACAAGAAGTGCTTTCTTCTCTGGAGTAAGAATATGAGCCGCCTCGCACAGCGCCACACCACCCTCGTAGTCTGGACGAATGTCCCCCGCAGCTGTGCAGTAGCGAAATTCATTCTTCAAATCCTCAATGAAAACTTTGATGCGTATCGGCTCCCAAGACGACGCACCGGCGGTGTACGCCTGCATCGCGCCCTGCCCCTTCCGCGGCACCTCGCGCAACACCGGCAAAGCACCGACCTTCCGCATCCTCTCGTCGAACGTGCAACGATGTTCCACATAACCCAAGGAACAATGCACCCAGCAAAGCAGCAGAAGAAGCAGCACTGCCGCTAATCGACAAAGCCGGGGCATCCGCTGAGCCAACAGCACACGAGCAAACTTCGCACAAAACCATCCAAACCGGAGAACGCAAAAAAAAAAAAAGACAAGCAAGCCATTCATAAAAAAACAGCCGTGAATAAACCTTTAAAACAATACAAACCAACAACAACAACTTTCACACGTCAGAATAAAACACACCAAGTCCTGCTGCATATCATCATCATCCACTCTAATATCATGGCATGAAAAATCCACACGATACATTAAACCTAACTTGCACAGCCCCAATCGCTACTCTTACATGACACATCAACCATAAATGGACAAAAACGCACGGATAACATACACAGCAATCCTAACAAGACATCTCGCACAGTGTCGGCGCCGACGGGGAACTGGTCTGCCACGGCCGGCTTCTTCTGCTGTGCTCGCACGCAACAGATCTCACGCATCTCAGGATCCCGCAGCGGACACCGGCCCCATCTCTTGATCCTTCACGTTAGAACTTTGACAACAGGTGTGAGAGATGAAGAGCATGGCACAGAATGTTTTGTCTATTTTATTCCATTAAGTTGCAAGAGCATGTCTTTGTGAAACGAGTCTATGCTAGGCAGCAGAAATCATTTTTTTCATTGTGGCAATGAGTCCAAACAGAAAAACAAAAAGATAATAAGGTGGGGCGCCGGTACCTACAGTAACGTTACAATCACGTTTGATGTGACGTGTAATAGGAGTTCTCTTTTCTGTTAATTTGTTGGTTGTTGTTTTATGCTGATGTACAGCATTGGCGTCTTTCGTGAAATAGGAAAAATGACAAAACAATGTCACCTGGCCGAATTTCCGCACTAATGTACACTCAAAGTCTGTTCTAGGTGTGGAGGAACGGCAAGGAGCAATCTGCGTTGTATCTGGCGTTCATCTACATAAGGGTGAAGGGGGCAGGAACACCTTGTAGTGCATTCGGATTAGTGTCTGCGTCAACTGTCATCGCTAGTTGCGCCTCATCGTACTCCACACGCGTGTTTACGGTACGTTGGCGGCTGTGCAACAGTCCCCATGCCAGGCGTTGGCGTAGGGCGGACTGGATTTTTATAGCAGCCTGCGTGTGCGTCATATTTGCCGTTGTCAGGCAGCGGGCGCTTGCCCACCCATACAGGAAGTCGTATACGTCGTGGGGCTTTTGCCGAACGACTTCGGCGACGAAGGTCTCGAGTAGGTCCCGCATCCCGACACGCTCGAGGTACTCCCGCTGTTCCTCGCTATATTCGAGATCGTAGTCCATTACCTGGGTTTTGGGGTGGCCCGCCACCTTTGCCTTTGCGTGCGCGTGTGTGAGGGGGGGCTGCCTTCCTGGTTATCCTTCGGTGTAGTGAAGAGAGTGGGTGAGGCGCCACTGTTTTTTCCCCTTTTCGTTTGCCGATTTGTTTGCTTCTCCTCGTTTATTCCTCGTGTTAACCCCGACGATGAGACGGCAAGAGAGGGGGGGGGGGGTTTTGCCGTTGGCATGCAACGGATGCCACAAAAAAAACGGAAGGCGAACCCACAGCAAGGCCGAAAAAAGCAGGCTGTACAGACCCCCTTTCCCTCTCTCACGAGGGCGAGTAACAGTAAAACAACCCAGAAAGAAATGACTTCGGGGAAGCCAAAAGAAGGTAGAAATGTGTATATGAATGTATGAGGCGGCCAGGCACAGACCGCAGCCGCAAAGTGCACTAATACTGTGGTGCGTACTTTACACCTCTGTGCGGCCTTGCCAAGGATGTGAAACGGCGGGTCTGTCATGCGCTTCCCCGCGCCCCAGCGAAGTAAATCATGCTGCCGTCAGCTCTGGTAAATGACGAGTATGGAAAACTAAACGCGACACTACTGCTGTCTTCAACTGCCCCGCCGTCGTCAAGTGACGGCGGTGGACACGAGCGGGAGCGGGGTTCCTGAGGGGCCGTGGCAAGTGATGGCACAAATGGTGTGTTTGCCTCACGTGGGTGCCGTTGCCACGCCGGCAGCAGGCCGCGTTGCTGCCGCTCTGCGTCGTCCGCGTCACCTCTCACCTTCTGCCTCTTCAGCCTTGCCTCCCCGTCAGTGTGGGAAGACACAGCAACCCCCTCCTGCAGAGGGCACCCAAACAACAGACGCCAGTACGGTGACTCGCAGGCGATGCGTCGCTTCTCACGCACACAAATGCAACGCCCCCCAGCGGTGGTGAACATCGTTGGCACCATCACGGTGACAGTTGCCACCTCTGTCTCGTCGCCGCCGCTACTGAGAACAGGCCAGGCTGCCGTCGTGTCGGTGTTGTGGTTACCGCAGCAGCTATTCATCGTTTCTGCAGCTGCGGTTGCTGTTGCACCATCTTCAGTGTGTTGCT